CGCTGCAGAGGGAGGGGGCGGCCCGGCCCGGCCCAGCTCTGCCCCCGGCCGGTCCGACCCCGGCCCCGGCCCCCGGACAAGCCCTTATCTGATCCCAGCTCGGGGTTTAAGAGTCTTGGCCCTGCCCGTCGCGCAGCTCCGCTCGTCACTCCTGCCCGCCCCATCTGTTCATCTGTCCGGCTGCCGGGTGGTCCATCCGTGCAGCCGCTCCACCTCCGAGCCAAGGTAAGACTCTGGCCCTGATGAAGGAGTGCTGCCGCCCTGGCCGGGGTCCTATTCACTTAGAGACATCGGCGCCCTCTAAGCCTTTTGGTCCTTAACCAAGGTTGACGACTGGCCTCAGCAGAGCAATCCGAGTCTCCCTCCTTCAGCCTTGGCTGTCCCAAGTGGACTTTCCTGGGAAGGGCCCCTCATCAAGGGTACTTTGCTTAGGCTAGTCACCTCAGGCCTTCCCTGTAAGAAAGGGGCTTCCGTGATGTCCCCGCTTCGTTTGGCATACCGGCAGTTGCATGGGGGCTCGTCCAGTTACTAGAATGATTATTATACATAAGCCTGCACCCACCACACAAGCGTACGGTCACTGCTCCTGCTCCCAGCAGCGACAGGTTACTCCCTCTCCCAGCCCTCCCCCTTGCTGTGACACTCACAATGGTGACACTCATTGATGATGCTCTGATCAACAGTTTACACATGGGGAGAAAAACAAGCGTTAGATCAGAAGACGCTGTCAGCCTGGTGTGCCGGGGACCCTTCTCTCTCCTCTTTCCTTCTTCTCTCCTTTCCATTCCAACTTGGTTCCCACTTCAGGACACCCCTCCCTACCGACACTCCTCAAATTGCCTCACAAGGAGAATTTCAGAAGGAGCAGGCTGTTTCTTGTGGAGTCAGAGGGTAGATTAGGGCCTATGAATTGAGTCTCCAGAGAGTTCCCTTCCCCATTCTATCTCCTCCAACGGGGACTAACCAAGGGTACTAGTGTTAGGAGAGAACTGATTCTAGGGAGAGCTGAGGTCCAGGATGGTTAGAAGATCAAAATAGGAAGAAGAAAAAAAGTAGTGGGGTTAGGTCTTCTGGTATCCTGGGATTTCATTCCCGCAACTGAGGTGTCTTGGGGAGGCTGAGGATGACCAAGGGGTGAGGGTGTAAAGAAACAAAGACAGAATTGGACCCAAAGGGGAGGCAAGCTTAAAGCCTGATTAGGTTGCTCATCAACACAAATTCTGACGAGATTTCTGGCCAGACTGCCCTTGCTGTGGTGTTTGAATTTTTTTTTCCTTTCCCTATGGAACAGACTGCTTTATGTAGTCTGAGAGGGCAGGAGATGGTGAAGGAAGGTTTGGGAGCCTCCTGTTTGGGATTATGTGGAAGGCATTGAGAGACTAGCGTCATGAGCTCCCAGTTACCATGAGCTCAATTGAGTTTCATTGCGAACACTTTTCCCTGATCTCCAAGGAGTTTTGAATATGTTCCTGGAATGATGGCAATTCCACCCTCTGCCAAAGGGTAGGGCTTGTCAGTTCCCCAGGGTGTAGACTGGGTATGGGGACCAAGTCTAGAAGGAACCAGGTGTCCTGGCTCATGGCTGGTTCTTCAGGAAGGAGGAAAAGGGGAAGCGGGGAGAGAGACAGCATCATGCCAGGGGGAGGGTCCAGGGCTGGACCGAAGAGGCAGTAGGCTTGACCCAGGCAGTGCCAATCTCTCCACCCACCCGCCCAGCCTTTGGTGGTGGTGGCATGGGAGGGAGGGAAGGAGGGGGAGTTAGGGGTGATCTGGGCCAGTCCAGCCTCCCAACGCCCTTGCCAACCTGGGTCCTGAAAGGAACTGCTGTTTTCTGAGCCATCCCCCCAGCCCCCATCCAGAGCCCAGAGCAGCCAAGTTGTCTCAGCGGATATCAAATGGCAATGACTCCACTGACTGGGGGGTGGTTTGGGGGGGGGATATGGACCCATTCCTTATGTAGCCCTAATGCAGAATCCTACTGCTTTCCCTTACCCTGGGGGGGGGGGATAACATCTCTCCAACATGTACCCATATATCTTTGGGGGGGGGCACATGTTTATGTGGAGGATTAGCTGGCATTTCCCAAGCTCTCTCTATGGCTTCCATCTGCACTCTGCATGTGCTCATGTACACTCTAGCTTTGCTGGCTTGGGCTAGAAGGGAAGTGACAGGACAGAAGACCCAGGGACCTTCCTCCCCCTCTTTCCCCTAGGAACCAGGGAGGCTGGGATGTTCAGATCTGGGTGGGTTCGTAGGCAGTTCTTTACCTTTGTGCTGGGACTGGTGGGGTAAAGAGTTTCAAAGGCACTGGTGGTGTAGCAAGGCCCATTTCCATGAAGGACATTTCCGGGCCTCCCGGGCTGGGTTTCTGCGCACAAGATGCAAAGACGGGGTTGAGGCGCGATGCACTGGCGCGGAGACATGAGACCCTAAATTTTCCTGTAAAAAGTTATTTAGGATGGAAGGAAAAAAGAAGAAGAAGGGAAAAAAACAAAAAAAGCAACTCCACTCTCCCTCCCTTCCCTGGCCTAGATTCTTCTCTTGCCTGACTGGTCAGTGCTACTGTCCAGACTGAGGCCAAGTTGTCCAGGACAGTAGCGAGGCCCTGGAAAGGGCAGAGAGAAGGAATAACATGAGGTACCCTGCTGAGATTGAACTGCAGGAAGACTGGCCAGAAAGGGGAGTTTTGGACTCCAAACGTCTTAGCACAGAATGAAGGGCAGTTGCCTAAGGCCACTCCCGAGAATGGGGAGTTTTTGCATTCACCTCATCACCTCAGTCTGAGGCCAAGGGCTTTTTCCCCTCCTCAGAGACTAGTGTCCATGTTGTCACCATTCTTCATAGAGAGAGTACGTCCTGGGTGGCCCCTCTCCACCCTTCCCCCCCCCCATCAGAACCTTGAAAGGGCAAAGAGAAAAGGATTGTGGGAGCAACCCTCCTGTGGGTGTCTGCTAGCCTGGAGCCCGGATTTGAGGTGGTGGGGAAGGGAGGGGCTGTCTTTGGAATGTGGGAGAGAAGTCAGAGAGAGCTAAGCTGTGTGGTCTGCAGAAGAAGCCTGGAGACGTGGGGGCTCCAGATGACTGGGTTAATACATGGCACTTCTGTAGTTCTTCCAGTGGCAGAAAACCCAGGGAGAGATTAGGTGCCAGGAGAGAAGCCCCGTAAAAAGAAGGCATTTGAAATTATGACTGGGAAGGAAAAGGAAACACATTTCTGGAAGTTAAAAAAAAAAAATAGCTCCAGGGGTTGGAAAGATGGCTGGCTCAATGGTTAAGAACACTTGCTGCTCTTGCAGAGGACCTGGGTTCAGTTCCAGTACCCACCTGGCAGCTCAAAGCCATCTGTAACTTCATTTCTAGGGGATCGGACACCCTCTTCTGGCCACTCACACACATGGGTTGCATGTACTCAGGTACATATGTGACATTCCCCCCACACCATGATAAATAAAATAATAATAAAAAAATAGTCCCAACCAAAAAGCCCATCATTAAGGCTTTCCGAAAGGAGCTGTGAAGTTCTGAAGTATAGGGCTTTTGTAACAACTGTCTAGAGGCTTCTCCTGGATGCTGGTGTGACCCTAACTTGCCACCTCTTCACTCTGAGAGATGACACACAGTGGTTCAGAGCACAGCCTTGGAATCCCCCTTCCTGGGTTTAAGTCCTGGTTTTACCAATTAGTAGCCACACAGCGTTCCTCATGCGTTTGTTCGGGCTAATAATAGTTGTGGGGATTACAAGAGTCAATATTTGTAAAGGATTTAGAAGGTGGGTAGCATGTAAAAGGTGTGGTGGCTATTAGCTTTCTCTAGGCTCTAAGCCTTTCTACTTTGCCATCTTTACTGGCTCCTGGGACTGGCCCCAGCCCTCCATAGCGGTTTTCTGAGCCTTCATCCTAGATCTGGGAAGGCAGAAGAGTTATTGAGAAGTTAAACACAGGGTTCCTGTGTCATGCCAAAAGACCGGCTCTTACCAGAAGCAGGGCCTTCATACTGCAGCCCATTCTTCCCATGAAATCTGTGCCAAGCAGATGTCCTGTCTTCAATTCAGACTCAGTAACTGTGATCTGTCAAGCACCCACCCCTTCTCCAGATAATCGCTCCTTCCAAGCAACCTCTGCTTTTTAGCCAAAGATGCAAGTTTCTACCCCCTACTAGATCTGGGGTAGCGCTATCTATCTTCATGTATTTCTTTCCCCACCCACGCATGGCTCCGTCTCCCCTCTCTTCTGTATGGTGCATGCATGTGATCACGTGTGGATGTGGGTGCACGGATATTTGCAGAGTGTAGAGGGCAGAGGTTGAGTTGTCGAGTGTCTTCCTCGGTCTTTGTCTGTCTCATAGTTTAAGATAGGATCTCTCATTGAAGCTGGAGTTCATCAGTTTGGCCAGACTGACTGGCCAGCAAGCCCCAAGGGTCTTTCTGTTCTCCCCGGTACTGGGATTATAGGCATGCTCCCTGTGCCTGGCTTTTATGTGGGTGCTGGGTGTCCAAACTCAGGTACTAATGCTTGGGTAGCAAGCCCTTTCCTGACTGAGCCATCTCCTCAGAACCTTGCAGGGGTGGGGGTGGGGTTGTGGTGTGTGTGTGTGGGGGTGTCTTATGAAGCTTGTTGTGTATTCAAGGATGACCTTGAACTTCTGATCCCATCTCCACCTCTCGAGTGTTGAGGCTGTAGTCTGTATCACTGCACCTCCCTCCAGGCCTGGTTTGATGTGGTGCCGAGAGGGTGGAACCCTGTGCTTTGTACATGCTAGGTAAGCTCCCTACCAGCTGAGCTGCGTTCCTGAGCTGCCTGCCTGTCTCTTGGTCTCTTCACTTCACATCTCTTCCTTCTCGGCTGGCTGAGGTGGCCTTCTCTGCGTCTGCCTGCTGATCAGCCTGTCAGTCTCGACAGCATAGGTACTGATGATGGCCCCCATCACGGCTTCCCTGACTCTGGCCTCTCTCCCTGATCCCTTCCCTCTGCTGCTCCATGTTTGGCTCCGCCGTCATGGGGCAGTGGTTTTTATCTCGCCGCTTCCATTCCTGTTAGCACTAGATGGACATTTCCAGTCACAGGATTCAAGTGGCTTTCTGCTGAAACACCCCTCCTCCTGAACCCACCTCTTGTGTTTTCCAGGGTCTGACCCTGAGGGACACGTGCAAAGACAGTTAGTCCCCGAGTACACTCTTCCACCCACTCTTGGACATCAACAACCATTCCAAGGTCCACCCGCCTGAAA